CTAGAAGAGGCCACCATAACCACTTGATTTGATCCCCCCTTATAATGTAGACCAAAGAATCCACTCTCAGGCTTTAAAACCTCTGGATCTCATTTGCTATATATAAATTAGCTGCCAAAGCATGACTGAAAAATATATTTAAAGTGACAATAGACAAAGGAAGGGAGGACAATCAAAAGCACAGATTACTTAAATTTTACAGCAGTTGCATTCCTGATGTTTGCAATAGTCCTGCCTTGACCTCTACTTGGACACCAGCACGATGATACTTTCTTCATTGCTGAGATTAAGGCATTTATGGTCAAGGTCATATCATATTTTATTTAAACACACTGCAGAAGGACATTAAATTTTACAGGTCAGATTCACCATGGTACTTGAGCAAAGCTGAGGCTGCAGGGCAGAGCAAACAGCCAGCTCATGTGAGAGCTGTCAAGGTGCAACTTCCCTTCATGGGCCCAGAATAAACATCCTCATCTTTCTTATGGCCAGACAGGTCTCTCAGCCCAACGTAGCCTCTCCCCACCTGGACCTTAGAGGGATGGCAGGGGCAACAGTACTACATCAACCAGCACCATTGTTTAACAGACCTGAGTCCTGAGGTGAGACAAAGTCCTGTTTTACCAACAGTAGCAAAAGGAGACAGCAGCTCTGCTAGCTCTCTTGAGAGCTCCTTCTCTTAGATGGAGGTCCCCACTTGCCATTCAGAAGCACCTTTAAGTCACCTTGGGCCTAAACACTGCAATTGTATGGAAGGGTGCTAAAACAAGTTTCAGTGAGTCAACCTCAGCACAGGGATACCAAATCATCACCACACGCCCTCCCTGGCCACAGCACATTACCTGCACCTCACTAGCAGCAATCATTTCAACCAAGTGATGCATGTATTTCAACTGTACCTACGAACACAAATATCAAATAAGGTCCTGAAATGACCTAAGGCACCTGAAAGGACTGCAATCAGTGAAGTCTCCCTATTACACTGCTAGTAAGAATAGATATCTCCTGCAAACGTTACAGCCCTGAGAACACACTTGATCTTCCAGGCATCAGTGTTTTTATTTTTGACTGTACAGCTATGAGCCTTTGCCAGAAGGAGAAGCTCAGCTCTCCCTGCTGTAGACAGAGAAACAACACTGACACACAGATAGATGAATGCTAGGAGGGCAACAGGATCCACTTCATTTTATCTGGGGCAATCTTTCAGCCATATAATGAAATAAAAATCTCTTGGGGACCTTAGATCAAAATGCTTTTTGGTCTAGCAACCACGACTCCCCCTCAGGCTCCACGTGGGTTATGGGTTTAATCTCATCTTCCTGCAAGCACACCGTCAGGAGCAGGGCCACCCTTGACTCCATCTGCTGCTCCATGGCTGCAGGCTCAGGCGAAGCAGAACTCAGCTGTGTATGCCTACTAGGGCTCTAATGCTGGGAATAGAAGTGGAACACACAACCAAGGTAATCTAGTCTAGAGAAAGACAACTCACTACCACTATTACCCCTGCCCCCTTTCACAGCCCCAAATGCACCAGTGACAAGTAGCCAGACTTTTCCCAATGAAAGAGTGACTGTATGTCCATTACCTTTACCCTTAACTCTACATAAACTGTAGAAAGACTTTTCCCAATGAAAGTGACTGTATGCCCATGATCTTTACCCTTATCTCTGCATAAACTGTAGAAATGTCTGTACCTGAATCTAAGGTTATTGATATCATGGTGGACAGGGATGTCTTCCACAAAAGTAACCACAATGCTAATATTGTATAGCAGGATGGAGGTCTGAACTGGGCTCCTGTTACTTAATGCAACTTTCTGAAGTCAGATTTAACTTTCTGGATTTTGTCTTGTGGCTGGTGCTGATGGTTACCAAAAGCATGAAGCTTAACATGTAATCCACATGAGAAGGAAGCCTTTCCTCCATCCCCTTCTGTTCTCACCCTGTTTTCTTTCAGGGCATTTCTACAACATAAACACAGAGCAGCTCCCTCAGTTGCAGTGACTTGAGACATAAAAAGCAGGAAAATTCCCCTAATCCCAATATCTCAGTGAGGTGTTATCTCTTGTCTTTTCTATACACTACTTTTCAGAGCATATGTGCTTTAAAGCACTCCAGCACCCACAAAGGAGAAAATGCTGTCCTCAGCTATGGAAGTATCCAGGCCTTTTTTTGGAAGTCAGGATCTGATATAGAAGATTATTAGATACTACACATACAACTACTCTTTAATTCCACAAGTCTTCCATTCACCACTGCTTACATCCAAAGCAAATCTGTACCTCCCCATGTGCACATCCCAATGTGCAGTTACACATTGACCCCTCCTCGTAAGTGTTGCCAGCAAATTTGTGAAAATAGAGAAGTCAACTTCATACCTGCCTTCCTACAAGAGATAAGGCAGAGGGTCTCACACCTGTCAAGACACTGAGTTCATTAGTTTCTAATAATCAGAGGCTTTCACTAGATCTCCTCCATACTTAATCAGGCATTTGTGTATGTTCTTACCAGTGACAGAGGCAGTCGCTCAGCTCTCACTGTTGGGTCACTGCCAGCAATCTTCCACCAAGCTGGGAAGGTGTTATATGTTAAGAAGTGGCAGGAAAGGGAGGGAAATCAGTTTGTGTGCATTTTCAACACACAAATGCTAGTAAATGTAAAGAATCCAAATGCTAGTAAAGCATACACCAATGCTAGTAAAGTAGAGAATCCAAACTTCACCTCCCACCCCTTCTTGCTCTGCTGCAGATTGTGATGGCTGTTACCTCACCTGGATGCTTTCTATGGCTCCACCTTTCCCATCGTTCAGGTCAAATGGCTGAGCTCCCTGTACATCACCCAAAGATCTTTTGTGTCACTTACATGATGTCACTGATATCATCGCTGTAACAATCAACCCTGAAGCACAACGCAATGATTGTTACTCCAACTCACATTCACAGCACATTTGTTCCAGCAGGCTTGAAAATAAGAGGATGAGGCAGGCTAGGTTTTCCTGCTCAGTAGGTTTTTGCTCCAATCTAATTAAAAACATTCAGCAATTCAGTGAAGTTCCTAGAGAACTGCACATGCAACCACACTTTAAGCTCTGAAAGCAAACAGCCTTTTTTTTTTAATGCACTCCCCAGATGGAGAGGTTTCCTCAGAAGTTTCTTTGTGATATTATACTGAAACTGCTGAACCAGAAAAGTTGAGCTGCTTCTGAGCTATCTTGGTCTTGTTGTTATTGCTAATGGTTTTCTTAATCTAAAAGCTAACAAGGAAAGCCACTGCTGGTTCTCTGACATGCAGAGAAGTGACAGTACAGCTCACTAGAAACAGGCAGCTGTGGTCACCTTGGTCTGAAACTGGGTCAGAGATGCCAGCTCACAGTTATATGGGAGAAATACACAAGTAATATTGCGGATTCAGAGGCTGAGGACAAGATCATCCTTTTCTTGCTGGTAGAACTCAGGTAATACAGCTTTAACAGCTCTGAAAAGGCAGCTTCCTCACAAAAAAAGGTATGTTTCATGTACAGTTTTTGGTAACTTTTCCTCATTTCTGGGAAAGTGTCAGGGAATCTATGTGAACAGTCGAGCCAAGCCCTGCACTGCTACACCACCTTAATCCAAAAGAGAGCCATCAGTGGGAGATTGCCACTACTGTGCATTGTGCTGCTTCTTGTGGAAGATTGTGTGCTGATGGAAGGTCAACCCAGCTCCAAACAATGTTAAGATCACTGGACAAGTTCAGTGAGAAAGACTACACAGTCTAAACGTATTCTGCTTGTAACTCCATCCCTGATACTGAAAACAGACCTTTTGCCAGCTGAAGGCATTTTGACCTGGGGAGCTGCAGCAGAGCATGTCATGCACAATGTGACATTCTTGCCATCAAACAGGTGCTAAAGGATCCTTTGGACTAGCTAGCTATGACATCACCAGCTTCCAAATTCAGACATTCTCAGGAACTGTCCCTAAATGCCTTGAAAAACGCCTGTCCTCATCTCCAGAAACAAGAGTGCCCTTAAGCTGTACAGCCGAGAAAAAATTCCTTCAGGGCTGTAACAACCAATTAAGGGATATGAAGCAATTACTTTTATATCCATACAAATGAAACTTCTCCAATGCAATTAACAATCCCTTATCATCTACTGCTGAATTTGTGGAAACCATATGCTGTACACTCTCTCCTCCCCCAACTTTCCCACAATTTTAAGCAGTTTGTTTTAGCTAATGTAATGAAATCTACCTATTCAAGAGAAATAAGAGACGTGTGCACATTATCTGAGTATTTTTAAATGTCCTTTTTAATTTTAAATATAATTTCATTTGAGGTTTTGCAGCTTTCATTTCTATTAATAAATTATCATTTCTTCGTTATAAGTGATGAGCTAGTATGTCATGTAATTTCTTTCGTCTAAATAGACGAAGACTTTGATCTAATACAAGCCCTTGCTGGGAGTAGAGAGACTTTCTGTCTAATTTAGTTACAAAAAATATTCAATTAAACTTGGGAATTTAATTCATTTAGTTATGAAAATTAGATGAGCTCAATAAGGTACTTTTGATTTGCCTTAAGAAAAAAAAAAAAAAAAAACAAACCAAGAAAAGGAGAAGAATATCTGAAAGGGAAACAAATAAGAATGGAGAACAAAAGTAGCTTTTCCTGCTCATGTTGAAAGGTGGATAATACGAAGAGTCTGAGTTCCATTTTGTGTGCCTAGATAAAACACAGCCACAATGAGTAAATGCAAATTATATATCCAAGAGATACACCAACAGCTGATAGTAACATCCTAATTGTCTCTTGGGTAACAAAAGTCCATGTAGGTCATAATTGAGTCCACCCCAATCAAAGGATAACTGATTCCTCACAACAGGATTACACCATCTATACACAACTCCATCTCCATTGGAGGAAAAAGACAAAATATCTGAATAATTCTTCAAAAGCAGAACAGAGCACCACAGATCTCTCTGACAGAGGCCTCTTCCTAGTTTTGCAGCCATCACTCACCATTTTTGCAGATGGGACAGCACTGGTCAGGCTCATACACGGGATCCACGCACTCGGTCTGGGGACAGGCTGACACCGTGCACAGCACTTCGCCATTGCCTTCACAGCGACACCTCTCACACGGAGAAACCTGAAACACAAACCCAGTCACCCTTTAACTCCTCCACTTAAAGCACTCCTGGAGTGTGCAGGGCCTCCCTTCTCATCTGAAATGTACTTTCCTTCACATATTTTTCCTCCCCACTCTAAAACAAATGGCTTTTGTGGCCTAAATAATGCAGAGAGCAAGACTGGGCTCCTGCAAGATTATAGAACCACAGCAGGAAAAGAAAATCAAAACAAAACAGGTTCTTCTTTGAACCTACACACCAAATGCAAAAGTCAGAGGGATGTCGAGAATACCAACAGTGATGACTCTTAATACAAATTAAACAAAAATTACCTTACTAAATTTCTAATGAACTTTCTGAAAATTAAGTTCATAATCTAGTTTAGTTCTATTAGATGTTCAAAAATAATTTACAGGAAAATAATGTATTTTAAAAAGAAAAGCTTTGCTAAATGAAGTTTGAAACGTCTTTTAATGGAAATCCTTACTGTAATTTTTTCAGGTTTGAAAGTATTTTGGTAGCAGGAAGTCACATTTTATTGAAAATTATATTTTTCAAAGAGAAGTCAGGAAAAACCCCCATCTTTTTGAATTCAGGTATTTCCCATAAGTTAATTGTTTCTGGACAATTCTTCTAGGACTTGTAACTTTCTAAAAGGAAGTTGAAATTCAAAGAAAGGGGTGAAGGAAAATACTGGTAAACCTTTATACCTAGTGAAATGTTACTGCATTTGAAGAACTCTTACAGAACAGGAACACCATGAGATAGTTACTTGAAAGACCTACTTCAAAGAAATTAATTCCCAACAAAAGAGTAGCAAGACTCTCTTTAGTAAAAAATGGACTTTGACATGTCTGCATTTGCCACATTCCAGCTGTCCTTCTCGGCATTCCTGACTAGGCACACCTCACTTGCATTGCTGATATCCTCATACCACAAAAGACAGAGGGAAGCAAGGATGTGAAGAGCAATAAATGCTACACTGTAAATCTCATTGCTGCATTCCAAAAAACCACATGGGTTCCCATGCCCAGAACACAGGATGAAAATGCAGCTGAACATTATTACTAGTGATCCTCTAAATCTGTAATCTGTGCAGATTACTGATTTACTTAAGGAGGAGTTTGTTCTTTCTATGGACCATTTTTCACTCCAGATTCCAGATGATGCAGACAATCCCCCATTTCACTTCTCCAATAAGAGCAGAAAAAAAAGAAATCTGAAAAAGAAAATAATTATTCACTTTGAAGAATCACCCAGATGTCTAACTTGCAGATCATCTGCTTCTTCTCCCTATTTTTCAGGCAGCCTATCACTTCTTTTTCCTCAAATCCATTCTCTGCTTGCCTCTCACATCCTTGTCACTTCCAAAGTTCAAACATGCTGATGCTTGAAAAGCATCATCTCCAACTAAATGCTCATTCATGCTTTGCTACTTCCCTTCCCACCTGCCAAGGCTGTTATTCCCTTATGCACTCAGATTTCTTTCACGCCCTTCCCTCTGCTTAGAAAGCCTAAATAGGGTCTCCTACCGTGTTGCTTTCTGCTTTGTTACTATTATTTATTTCAGGTTTCCTTTGCTGGCTACTCATTTTGCACTTTCTCTTTGCTTTACACTCTTACCAAGGATAACACCACGCATATGTTTAAGAAATCCCAAACAGAGGCTGACAGTCCAGTGCAGAAAATCTTTACTGCAGTCTTTGGGACAACTTCCTCCTGTAATTGTTTTTAAACTGTCACATTCATTTCCAGACCTGGAGTGTCAGCAGATGAGGGGGTTTCTGACCCAATGCTCAGAGTTGAAAGGCTCAGGTTATGTCAAGTAACCACTTGAACCACATGTGAACTTATGAGTGTCAGCAAACCTGAGCTCCTAAGTATTAAGTCAATAACAAGAATCCCTCCTTCTAGTGTTACATCTAGAAACAATACTTGCCAAATTACAAAAACAGAGTTTTTAAGGAGGACTGATTTTCTTACTATCATTTCTAGTATAAAAATATTATACAATATATAATCCTACTTGAAAAAAGATACCAGCACTCAGTTCCAAGGATCAAGGTCAACAAGGTGAACCTACATCTTTCAATCAAATTTAACACTTTTTGCCTTGACTTGGAAAAGATGCAAATTTGCCAACCATCAAAATTGAATGAGATCAGTAGCTACCACAACAGACTTCCTTAGTCCAGGACACTGCTTAGTAGCTGTGTCATGCAATATTGGAAGTGGTGTAAAAAAAGGCAACACACAGATGTTATTCCTAAAATCTCTCCTTTGTAAAATTTAAGCATATTCTAATTACATGGGTTTACTAGATTTCCAATTTTGACAAAGGCTGAAATTCTCAGAAAAATAAGTCATTTACTATTGATTGAGAAACAAAACTGATCTAATTCTTTTCTAATAATGATGACTCATGATACACATTTCTGTCCTATACAGCACATACACCTGTTAATGTGATACTGCAGTAATGAAGACACTTCTAGTGTAATGGATCATGGGGTTTCAGAAGAATACTTACAGCACACCTTGATAAGTACTGTCATCTGTACAACCCACCAACCTGAGTAATGGCAGCAGGAAGGAGGGTCTCCATGAGCTTATTTCTACAAAGCTCTTTTCAGGCATGCAAGTAAACCACAGTGGAAGCTAAAATGGTGTCAGTGAGAGCCATTATCTGCTCATCTTTAGACTAAACAATAGCACATTGCTTTTTACTGATCATCAGGATACAGCAGAAACTGTAGAAAACCCCCACTTTTTTCCGTACCTTAATGGCAGCTTAATACTTGGAGACATAATTATCACTAGGAAGACAATAAGACAGTGTCTCTATGTAACAGCAGCTAAATAAATCAGAATGAAAAGACACATTTGGTCCTTCACTTCCCCTCTCTACTCAGGCAATGCAAGTGCATTCCCTGCAGCACAGGTCCCAGTGGCCGTCACTGCAAGGAGCATCCCACTTGTTCCTGTGGGGAACGACCAGCCCAGCAGCACTCACACTCAGCACTTCTGACATAACCAGGCTGGACTGGAAATAATATCAATCTCTCTCTGGCAACTAATGATACCACATCTCCATGCTCTGCAGATGAAGCTGTTAACTCTGTAGCAGCAGCAGTTCTGCCTATGAAAGAACTGCAGAAAGACAACAAGAGGCAACAGAAGCCTTGTGTATTCACCAGGCAGCCACAAAACCTGTAGAAAATAGACTACAGATGGCAAAATACCCTAGCTCTTTAGTATTGTTTAAAGGGAAGTTTATGAGCAGTGCCTGACTTGCAGGCACTGTAAAAGAGCAAATGAAATACTGTGTAAACTGCTACGTTTTCTATTAGTAGGGTGTGAAGAAAGCTTAGTAAGGGTAGTAGGTATATCCAGCAGCTTATTGTAAATTGTCATAATTAAGAAGTGACAAATCATTTGTAGTCCAAAGTAATTTGAGCTTTCCCCTACCAAATGTCCAACTTTAATAACAAACCAAAAAGACATCAAAACAAAACAAAAAAAAAAGCTGGATTAATAACAGATATACAAATCTACAATACAGATATACAATCTACATTTGGTTCCTTAAGCCTTGAAAACTTACTAAGTTAAAAAAACCAACCAAACAAACAAACAGTCATAATCCCAAATTTCTTTTCTTTTGTGCTGGAATTTTTTACTAATATTTTCTTGCCACTGACACAACCCAGGAGAACATGAATGGGATTACACTGACAATAATAAACATACCAGCCATGCTTTTACTCCCCTGTGCTTCAAAATACCACTCATCTTTCAAAACTCATTTGGGTTTGCTGACTCTCAGATTTCCAAGTAACTTACCCACAAAACAAATACTATTTGTGGTATCAAGGAAATTCTAAAAGACACAAATCAACAGGTTTCAGAATCATAGGTCTTTTCCAAAACATTGCACTTCTGAAGATAATTCCTCATTCTTGTAAGATTTTATACATCAGCCTTCATTTTCAAATTTTAATTGGAAGATTTGGACCACATGCTTTAGAAATCTTCAGCTTCAGTGCAGAACTTTAACACCCATTGCATTTCACCAAATAAATATTTTGTTACCAGTTCAACTAATATGGATGTTGTGATCACACTGCTATTCTGCCCCACAATACCCACAAGTGACCAGAGTGGTGCTGATGGAAACAGCTTTATGAGACTTCATCCTTTCCGTATACCCAAGCTGTTTTTTGTGCTGATATCCATGTCCTTTCTGAAAACACAAAAATGCACGCATACAAGCACACACAAGCAAAGCATGAAGGATGGACTGTAAATCAAAGAAGAAACACATCAAACCTCAAATTCCCTGGCACACTCAGCTTCTGGCTCCAGTCAGGGCAATTGTTTGCCCTGCCAAGCAATATAGAAATTTTATATAAGTAGACTCACAAACTTGCATTCATAATTACACATCTATACATAAATGTTTGTACAAAAAATGTCACTTAAATGTTAGGAGGTCACCTTTTTCTTCCTTCAGTGATGTCTGGTACTCTTTGCCACAAATAGTAGGAGCAGACGCATAGACAGATCACATCACTATCCATTTATAACTCCTTCCCTGACCTTAATCAAGAGATAGCATGCTAGTAACCTAAGACCATCCACTTTAAACTCACAAAATTACCTTTGAAACTGTGCAGTTTCTTGCCTTTTGCAATTGCTTCTACTGAGCAGTAGCAACCTGACTACATCTGCACCTTGTGCTGCCAGACAACTCCTCTGATTGCAGTGGCCTGGGCAAACAGCCGCATTTACAGCTTGTGATCACAATATTGGAACCAACACAGAATCTCAACCAAAAAACAAGGTTCTCACATAGGAAAATAATCAGGCTGCAGTTCCACAGCCTAATTGCATCAATAACTTTCCTTGCTTCCACTGAGCAGACATCCCTTCTCACTTGTGTTTCCAAAGCTGGGTAGAACAAAGCAGTAATGTTTCATTAGAGGAAGATATGAAGCCAAGGGCTAAAAGCTGAATGGTGTTAAAAAGAAAGCTGAAAACCAAAATATTTTCAGGACATTTCTATAAATGTCACTGTTCCACACTATTTTTACCAAGGCTGTCAGTCATATTCAAATGTACCAGGGAACATTAAGGTTGTACACTTACTACACATTTAACACAGTATTTTAGGCTTGTCTTACAGCCATTAATACAACACCACTACAGAAAAAGGCTAAGAAATGGAACTCTGTAGAAGAGAGAGAATGAAAAGCAGAGAGAAGCCTTTAGAACACTGACCTATGGAGAAGGTGTGGAGAAGCTTCATCTTTTGGCCACTCCCCAAGAATTAAGTTTGCTGGGAAAGAAAGGATCTCACAAGCCGTCTCTGAAAAGGTCACACCAACCAGCTGCTGTTAAGGTAGCTGCTCCCTCTTAAGTAGAAAACTTCCACCCTGAAGTTGAATGTAACCCTTGAGGATTACATGGAAAGAGGGAGGATGATACAATGTTTTCTGCCACACCTTGCAATTCACCAGTGCTCTGCACATTACTGCCTGAGAAGAGCAAATGACAACACTCTTTCTTATTATGGAGAAAGTAGTTCTGCTCTGTAATTTATTTTCTCTTAAATTGATGAACATGGAAAGACATTATGAACCAAAACTAAGTTTTCAGGAACATGCAAATACCAGGGAGCAAAGGTGACAACTTACTTTCAGCCTTCAAAAACACACTTTCTCCACGATGAGAGGGGCTCAGCTTCCAGAACCTTGAATTATATTTCATACTCCCCTCAATATACTCAGCATTAAATTCTTCAGTGTATTCAGAAATGGGTTTTGGAACTGCACTGTATCTAACAGTCACTCACAAGACATTTCACAAGCCATTCTTAGAGCCTGTTCACAGGTCTCAATCACAACAAAATACAAAATGGAAAAAGACAAGGTAAACAACCAGAAAACTGGCCCCGACTCCAAAACTTTTGAGTGCATTGTGACATCCTGCATTTTCAATGATAACAACCTTGCACAGTAATGCTAAAAAGACCCTAGTCTGAAAGGGTTCCCCTGAACATGAAGATTTTCAAGTGTTTTCTTTAGGTATCACTGCAATCAAGACTGCAAACTATGCTACTATTAAAAAGAAGGCCTATAGTCATTCACAGAAAGCAAACATTATGCAACCTTGGCAGCACTATTTAAATCCTTAATAAGAAAAAATAAATGACTGTTAAAAAAGAAGGGATAACCACAAACTGATTACTAGGAATAGAAGTCAGCCCACAAAACCCTGCTTGATCCCTGCAAGGCAGAAGTTTAACAGTTAATAGTTACATAAGGAAACAAATTTATTGCTGAAAAATTCTCACAAAATCCATAACACCACTGAGTAGCATCCTTCCAAGTAGCATTTTTTACTGTAAATACCAAAGGAATTAATAAAGATCAGCACCCTCACTTAAAAATGTTAGACTACCATACAGCAAGAAAGGTCATGTTTAAGGGGAATATTTTACAGGACTGCAGAAGTAATATTAACACCAAAATGTGAAGAGGAGGGGGAGACACAGAACACCCCTGAGAAAACAGTTAAAGACCATTAATACCACTTTAAACAAGAGAAAAACCCACAAAAAGACTTTTGGCTTCATTCCTTACCATGAACTCCTCCAGGGTCTGGTAGGTTTTCCCTCGGAACTCGCAGTAGTTCTTCCTCTCCTTGCACTGCGGGCAGCACTGCGTGGTGTCCACATGGATGCAGCGAGGGTGGAGCCTGGGGCACTCGGGCTGGATACATAGCGGGCCCTCCTCAGTGCACAGGCAGGGGCAGGCAGAGGGGCCCGGCGCAAACTTCTCCCCGATGGCATAGACGAAGCCGCTCTCGTCCACGCAGCCTTTCCCACGGTAGTCCGGATAGGCGTACTCCTCCGGAGGCTCGGGAGTGACGCTCGCAACAGATGCTGGGAGAGATGAGTCTTCAGCCACCTGAGGTTCCTCAGGGGCAGCATCCCTCTGTTCTTGCACTTGAATGCTCCCAGATTTACTGCTTGTCCCCTGGCTGTTCCAAGCCTGCTTTTGCTTAGTCCAAGACTCCTTGTTCGAGTAGTTCCTGTTTCCTTTGCTCTTCCAGTCCCTGCTACCCTCCTCCCTCCCGCTCCTGCCGATCTCATTCATTTTCCCTGGACCTGTCTGGCTGTCCCTTGTAGACGTGTGATCTCTCTTTTCCTGGCTCGCCTTTATCTCCTGTTTGTCTTGAGCCTTGGCCAGTTTTTGTACGGGAACGGTGGAGCTACAGAGGGCAACCATGAGGCAGCAGGTAACGAGAAGAGAACTAGAGAAAGCTCCAATTGCCATTGCAGTAGAGCTGGGCATCACCTACTGCATCCCACAGGGGACACTGCATTCACATCGGAGGGAAGCGCTTCATAAAGCCACAGTCCCTAGGAAAAGAAGGATTAGGAATACTTCAGCTTCTGCACTTCTTCCCCCCCCCGCCGTCACCCCGCCTCGTCTCCACCGATGCAACATCTCAAACAATATGCAACCTGCCTCGGTAGTTTATGCAAAAGGCAAACAGCCTGCTGCTGCATCCCTCCTCCTTCTCCCCCGCTCTGCCAAGTCTTATAAATAGCAGGGCTCTGGACACGGACCGGGCGTCTTCGGCTCCCAGAGAGCCCCACGCAGAACTCCAGGGAGTCAGCGTTTGCAAAGGCAGGTGCAGGCAAAACTCAGAGCGTTTGGGGGAGGGGGGGTGGTATTTTTAACTTTCAAACGACAACATGCGAAGAGGCCGGACGCAATGGAGCCCCCCAAAATCCAACAGGGTCCGGAATAGAAATTACCCAGCTGAGTGCTAGTCACCGTCTGCATACACAATGATTTTCATTAACCTTTTATTCAGTCTGAAGTACGCTGGTTTGGGTTCTGTTTAAATACCTACCAGCGAGCACGTTTCTGTAATAGACAACTAAAACACTAAAGCGAGCAAAAACAAACTACCTCCCTTCTGAACTACCCAAACCAGCACACAACACCACCTCTTCCTCGCCCGTGTTCGAAAGACAAGATAGAGCCGCTTCGAGTTTCCGCAGCCGAGGCTCATTTAACCCACATCCTCCAGGAGTTCGGCAGCACTCCCGGCTCCTCTCCCTGAAACACTGCACGCCAAATCGGGGAAAAAAGAACACCAAAAACCCCAAACCAAAATACGTACACTACTCCGGCCACGACAAGCAATGCCGCTGCAGCCTCCCGGCACGACCCCACCTCGGCGGTACCGCTCCCCAAAGCCATTTAAAAGCCTCTCTTTCTACCCGCCCGCCTCCCCGGCCCTCGGCGACGGCACCGCGGGGCACCGCGCTCCGCCCGCCCGGCAGCGCTACCCGGCCCGGTGGCAGGGGAGCCGGGGCTCCGCGCCGCCCGCCCAAACTTTCCGGAGGGCCGGGCAGCGCCGCCCGACCCCCGCCCGCTGGAGCTGTGAGGGAGCCGGGCCAGCCCCTTCCTCAGCCCGGCCGGCTCCCCGGTGGCCCGGCGCGACGCCTCCGTGCCTCCGTCTCTCCGTACCTGCGCTGGCGCCGCGCTCAGCCCCGGCGGCGGCTCGGGCCGGCGAGCGTCGCCCCGCGCCCGGCTCCCATGGCGGGGCCGCGCGCTCCCTGGCTCGCTCCGCGCCGCGCTGCGGGCCGGGCGCAGGGCGCGGCGCGGGGAGGGGACTCGGTGCCCGCCGGGGGGCGGCAGTGCAGCGGCCCTGCCCGCCCCTGCCGCCGCCGGAGGGTGTGCGGGGCGGGGGCCGCCCGCTCCTGCCGCAGGGCCCCGCCGCGGCCGCGCTCCGGGAGCGGCGAGCGGCTGTCGGGAGGGAAAGCGGGGCTGAAACTTTTGGCGGTGTTAGGGGCGTCGGTTCGGGACGCGAGCGGCGCGCTGCGGCCCCGTGCGGCGATGGGCGCTCTCCCCGCGGTGCGGGACCGGGCGGGCACACCTGCGGACCCGGGCACGGGCAGGGGCGGCTGAGCAGCGTTTATTTGGGACGGGCGATCTGTGCCTGTCTGATGCTGCCCGCTCCGCAGCATCACGCAGTACTGTGCGTTAGCGCTCCCCTGCCAGCCTGCTCTAGCAGCGAAGTGGTACGTGGTTCACTAGTTGAAATACCTACTTATGCTTTTGCATGGCTGGTGGGCAGTTCTGAAGTTAAATATAGTTGCGCTTTTCTCCTTTTTACTTATTTGAAAGAAAAAAAAGGACAGCGCGGTCTGTTATGAAATGACTGCTGCAGGAGTGTTGGGACAGAAATGCACAAGAATAGCTAGAAGTACTTTTGTTCAGGATCGAAGCAAGGGCTTGGAGCCTAAAAGGTTATTTATTTAAGTTGCATTAGATGACATATCAGTATAATCTTCTTTTCTGAATTTTGCTTTACAGACTTTCCAGAACAGTCCCAGCTGCACTAACCCTCTGCCACAGTAGCACTTCAACATCTGCTGTGCCCTACTCGTGACTAGGGCTGGATTTTGCAACATATTTGACACTGAAATTTTTAGGCTAGGTCTAATTTTCAGGTTTGTTTTGGTTTGGTTTCCCCCCCCCCATTGAAATTGTATCACTGCAATATCGGTACTCAAGAGAGTAATGAAAATCTGCTGGGTACTAATGTTTCATAGTTAAGTACCTTCATGAGCACCTGTTAATTGTGAGAACCCAAATACTTAAATTGCTCCCCAGGAGGATGCAGGTGCTGAACTCTTTTGGCTGCTGGGTTGCTATTAAAAAGTATTGACTCCTGTCTAATTTTAAAAATATTTTTCTTGAAATCACATCATGTCTTCTAGTAGGAAGAGCCTAAATAAGGCTCTGAAACTTTAAAATACAAGACTTAAATTCTGAAGGTTATGAAGAAGTCAAGTTTTTCCACAGGTTGCACTAATAAAATGAAATTCCATATTGCTAGGGGATTTCTAGACAAATTCCTAAGGAGTTAAGATTGACTTTTCTCATTATTTGACTTATAATAATTAAGTACTTCCTTTCAAACTACCATCTCATTACCTCTGAATAAAGAATTTAATCTTTGCCATGTGTAAACCTAAAACATTTCATGTCTTATGGAATTTAAACCCTAACTTAGGGTGAGCAACCAGTACATCCCATTACTGATTGCAGAAGAACTTGAATGATGGAGCTACCTTGGAGTTCAAAAGCCTGTGAGCATTGCTGTTCAGCAGCAGCTGCTTGTGGCTAGAGCAAGGCAGAAGAAAATAAGCACATGGGGAAGGCAATGCTCTGTCTGTGATAAAGAGCAGAAGCCAATTTATGTTTCTGACATTTTCATGTGTTCCCAGCTGAAACTTTGGAACAAAATCTGAGATTTTCAGCATCCAGGACTCTCTTTGTAGGAGCTCTGCCTCTCTCCCCCCTGGTTACATAGAACAGCGATCATCGGCTGGAGCTGATGGTTCAAAACACTGCTCTGTAGCAAGAAAGGTAAAGTCTCAGAGCACTTTTGTAACAACAAACTGCAGCTCATCCTACCCTATTGGGCAAAGTAAGAAGTAAACACCCTCCTTTATTTTTCAAAAGGGTTTCTCATTGAACTTCAGTCCCTGTTTATTCAGATTTGTAGGTATATTGAGTGCTTAATTGTATCTGACATTAGGACCCTTGCAGAACTGACACCTCACCGCTTCATTAATGTCATAGAATCAAATTGCAATATGTTACAGTCCAAATGGTTAAATAGCAGATATGTAAGAAATGTTTGGTGTTTTTTTCAGTGAAGTCTGAACTAGGAAAGAAAATAATGAAAATCTGTCATCTGAAGGCAGCTTCTAACAATATTTTTAATGAGAAATTATATACTTATGCTGTAACGTGTAAGGTCCTGGAGACTGAAATCCTGTTTATTCACAAAACAAACTCAGCATAAAAATACAGCTCCAAGTCTCCCTACTCTGATCCCCCCAAGTCAGCAGTTGCAAGGACAACTCTCTATCTGGATGAGGATAAAATTCTGCATCCCATTCAAGACTTCCCTTTTCTCTGGGTCTTGTCTGCATGATGAGAGCCTTGTATTAGCTTAATATTTAAATAAGAGCTGTCATGTGCACAAAACAGTTCTCTCTGTTTTAGCTTAGTTTTACCAAGAATTAGACTAATTTTATAGGATGCAGTTGAATGGAAAGCAAAAGGGAACTTGGTAGATGAAATAATAATTGTTCTGTCAAGGAACAAGCTGACCATCTCCATTAGACCAGAGTCAAGACAGTGAGAGTGGACATCCATGCTGAATATAGCTGGCTATTAGTCAAAAATATTTAATTAAACTCATGACTGAAATTTTGTTGAATATTTTTTAAGAGTGACCTTTGTAGGAACAACAAGTATTGAAATGTAGGATCTTTTGCCAAGTTAAAATTGGTTCTCTGACTGGATAATTACAACATAAACTCAAAACTTCACAGCTAGGCAGACATGATCTGGATATCTGAGAGTACTGAAGAAAACAACTTTTAGCCTAATGTATGGATAAAATCTAGGATATGCACGTACCCCAGTGTAGACATGCAGCCCTGCACTCCAGGGAGTCACCTGAAGCAGCCAATCCCTTCACTTGTTCTCACACAGGGACTGTTTTATTGAAGGAAGTGCCACCTGCCTCCAGTGAGGGGATGGGGAAAGAAAAGAGGAGGAAGCTCCATAGGACCCTGGAAAGCTGGGCAGGGGAAGCAGAAAAGGAGCCCCAGTGCAAGTGGGGAGTGGGTGTGGGTGTTGGAAAAGCCCACAGGATAACGAGGTTGGCTTTGGTGACAGCTATCTGCAGAGCTTGGGGGAGCACAGAGTGTGCTCAGGGGAGCAGCAGTGCTGCAGCAGCTGTGTGCTGCAGTGCCCTGTCCGTGCAGCAGCTCTCAAACTCTGGAAAGTGAGGGGAGGAGATGTCCCCAAAGCATGACTCCTCTGGGAAAAGGGATGGTTGCGCCTTTTTATTTTGCTTTGTTTTGTTATTCTTCCTAAAAGGAAGAGAGTTGTTATATGAAAGGTATTTTTTATTGTGGTGCTAAAGTGGCAGTTGTTCAGGCAGGTTGAAATCACGGCCTTGAAAAGGTGGCAATTTGTGCAATAGCATTAGCCCAGACATATAAAATAAGGCCTTCAAATAGCAGTCAATCTGAAGACAGAAAGAGAGAGACAAAGCTGAAGTACATATTACACTAACAAATAATGTGTATTTGAAAGGCTCAATTATAAATAAGCAGTTTAAACAACTCTTAAAAAATAAATAAAGAAAAGCAAGCTTTCATAACTATTTTAAAGTAGGTTAGCTTTCATCTTTTCATTTTTATTTCTTGTTTTCTTTATGCCACTTGTCAAAGGACTCAAGACACATTCCTCTTCATTCTTTTTTTTACTTTTCTGATGCCTCTTTAGTTCTGATAAGTAATTATTGAAGAAGTATTACACAATATTGCGTAAGTTGTATTTACAATTGTCTTCATTAGTTTTTCACAAATATTGATATGTTATAATATTATTTTTCTGCTTTGTGTTAATGAAAACTGAACACACCCCCCCCCCCCCCCCCCCATCATTTAGAATGTAGGATCTTCAATACTCTCCTACACTTCTGTAAGTCACAGTTTGCATGCTTGGAAATAAATGATAATGAGTTTTTGGTTTAAGTTTTGCTTATTACCTGTAATAAACACACACACACAAAAGCTCTGTAGACCAAGAAGAGGTTTAAAATTTAGAAGTCATAGGTTTAGAGAACATCTTTTAAACAACATTTTTGCTGCTACTGGTTTATGTTCTAGGAACTCCCCTTTAGCTTATGATTTGTCTCATTATTAGGAAAAATATAAATCTAATGCTGTGCTGGTTTTGACTGGGGTGTTGTTAATTTGCTTCACAGTAGGTGGTTTTGATTTCTGCTGTTGAAAACTTGATAATTCAGGGAAGTTTTCATTGTGGTTGAGCAGTGCTTGCACAGAGCCAAGACCTTTTCTGGCTGTCACCCCACCCCACCCCACCAGCAAGGAGGCCGGGGGTTCACAAGAGGCTGGGAGGGGACACAGCCAGATCAGCTGATCCCAGCTGGCCCCATACCGTACTATGGGGCATCATGGCTAGGGTATAAAGCTGGGGGAGGATTAATGAAGGGTGGTGAAGAATAATCCTGGAGTGATGGTGTTTGTCTTCCCAAGTCAGAGTGATGGAGCCATGCTTCCATGGGGATGGCTGAACACCTGCCTGTCCATGGGAAGGGGTGAATGATTTCCTTGGTTTACTTTGGTTATGTGTGCTGCTTTTGCTTTACCTATTAAACTTTGTCTCAACCCATGAATTTTGTCACTTTTACTCTTCCAGTTCTCCTCACCACCCGACCAGTGAGTGAAGAAGCGACTGTGTGGGGCTGAGATTACATCTGGAGTTAAACCATGACAAATAGAAATAAAATACTTAATTTAATGTAAAATATCCTAATGAAAGGTATCTATAATGGAAGCTTGTTTCAAAATGTTGGAAAGAAGACTGGTTGTGTTTAAAAAAATCTCTGAAAATCTCTCCTTGAAAATATCAATTTCTTTCCCCCGCAAGCTCTGCAGATATTTTGATGCACGTATTTTCCCTGAGAGGGAAGTAGAGGTTGCCTTGTTGTATATG